CATCCCAAATCCAGCACCCTGAGACTGTACGTAAGCCGTAAAGAAGGAGGCCGAGGACTAGTGAGTGTGAGAGCCACTGTCCAGGACGAAACATCCAAACTCCATAACTACATCATGGAGAAGGCCAAAACGGATGACGTACTCAGTGAATGTCTCAGGCAGTGGCGAGATGAGGAGGTGCTGGAGGAGAGCCCATCATGGGAGAACAAGCCCCTACACGGCATGTACCACCGGAGCATAACAGAAGTGGCTGATCTCAAGAAGTCCTACCAATGGCTAGAAAGGGCTGGCCTACAGGACAGCACAGAGGCACTCATCATGGCTGCACAGGAACAGGCCCTGAGCACCAGAGCGATAGAGGCCCAGATATACCACACCAGACAAGACCCAAGGTGTCGGTTGTGCAAAGAGGCACCTGAGACGATCCAACACATAACTGCAGGGTGCAAGATGCTGGCAGGGAAGGCCTACATGGAACGCCATAACCAAGTGGCTGGCATAGTGTACAGAAACATCTGTGGAGAGTATGGGCTGGAAACCCCAAGGTCTAAGTGGGAAACTCCTCCAAAGGTGGTGGAGAATGAGCGTGCGAAGATCCTGTGGGACTTCCAGATACAGACCGACCGAATGGTAATGGCAAACCAACCTGACATCGTGGTGGTAGACAAAGGGCAGAGGACAGCCGTGGTGGTGGACGTGGCAATTCCAAGCGATGGTAACATCCGGAAAAAAGAACATGAAAAGCTTGAGAAATACCAAGGTCTCAGAGAGGAGCTGGAGAGGGCCTGGAGGGTAAAGGTGACAGTAGTGCCCGTGGTGATCGGTGCACTCGGGGCAGTGACCCCGAAGCTAGATGAGTGGTTACAGCGGATCCCCGGAACAACCTCGGACATCTCGGTCCAGAAATGTGCAGTGCTAGGAACAGCAAAGATACTGCGCAGAACCCTCAAGCTCCCTGGCCTCTGGTAGAGGACCCGAGCTTAGAGAGGGATAACCGCCCGCGGAGGGCCAAAGGTGAGTGGACAATTTTTTTTTTACATATAATTAGTATAATCATTAATTAAATCATGTATTTACTCTTTATTTTAAACAGCAGACAATTCCAGATGAATAAAGAAAGATACATGTAAGCAATTCATAGATGAATAAATGACTCCAATGCCTTCAGGCTGAAGCCAGACAAGGCTCACCCATAAATCACACTCAGCAGTAGTTCACTTAAATTCTCTGTAATTTGTAAAATGTCAAATAAGTTTTTTGCCTCAAAATGCGTGTGAGCCTTTTTTGTTCGACTGGTGTCAGTAAATTCCTCTGTATTCTTCCCTTCAAACAGGACATGCGTATGAGTGAGGCTGTGCACACGGTATAAAGTTTGTGTTGGGATGAGGCGGAGAGCAGACAGCGGCGTGGTTGAGCATGTTTGATGTGCTGTGATAACTCTGTCCGGTATGTGGCTTCCATGGGAACTCCTTCGCTCAGAGGCACCAATGCATAACCCTGTTTAAAGAGCCACTTTCCTCTTTCTAAAACCCACTTCCTGTTTTTACATTTGAGGATCCACTGTACTATAACTTTCATCATTTTTATTGCAATTTGTTTAAGCTTTGTTGGTCGACCTACAACATGTTGTTTACATATGATGATGCTTACTGTTAGCCTGTTTTGCTGGTAAGGGCTTTGTGTTATTGATAATAATTAAACATGAAATAACCACAGATATTTATTATACTATTTGTTTGCACATTTGCACATTTTATGGCTCAATATCTGATGTTTATTTGTGTTGTCATGAATAGCATTCTACAAGTCACCAGTGTGCAGTCATCTAAAATCTGTAGTGTACTAGAAGGCATGCTATGATGATGTTTATTAAATATATAATGAAGTACATATAATACTACAGTATTGGCCCAGTTACTGGTTTGCGTGTGTGGAGTACTGTAGTTGTACCATCTTGAACCAACGTCTGGCAGTTGGTGTACTATTGCGTTTTTAATTTGAGTGACAGATTTTAGCATTGGCTGTCAGATCTGTGTACTCATGCCTTGCTCAGCCTCTCTTAAGATCTTGTTATTCAGGAGATAAAAGGTGTCGTGCATTAGGGTGTGCCAAAAATCAAATGATTGTAATCTATTTTTTTCTAAATGTAAATGATAATTGTGGATTAAATTTTGGTATTGGCTTTCGCAATGTTTGGCTTAAATTACTGAATTTAATTTAACAAGTTGTATATCACATTATTATGCAAACGGAAAAAACATTTTACGTTATTAATAATAATAATATAGATCAATTCAATATGAGATTTTTTTTTTTTATATTGGTTTTTTGCCCAGCCCTCAAAGCTGCATAGCAGCGGGACCTACCGGTTTGTATTTGAGACAGGCCTCTTTGCATACCACTGAAGCCAGCATAGCTATCAGAGTGTTGGTAACCCAAGACTGTTTCCTTTTGACTGCCAGCCCCATATGTAAGTTCATCTGTTCTGAGTGGTAAACTAATATGCACCCAGCCTCCCACTAAACAGTTTTAATTTTTGCTTGCTGCCCTATCTCTTGGTCATACTAGTTCTACACTATAATCAACTAAATATTTTCTAAAAGCTGGTAATTCATAAATATGCTAGTGTCTTAGCAATATTGCCTGGATTATCCTGGCAGCACGCAATTGCATTCCAGTAATCAGGTAGAGTTGGCCTTTCCCGGTTTCCCAACCGGGGGCACGCGGACCCATGGGGTACGCAAGGGTATCAATGTTCGCAAGGGCGAACATTGATAGTAGTGTTTCATAATAACCCGTTAAACTACTACGTTACCCAAATTGTAATTTTGTTACACTGTCCATGATTACTCACAAGGACAACTTTTCTGCCTAATAGTAAAAGTCAGTAAAATCCGAATAGAATTAATTAAAATCATACTCCACTTTCGGAAAAAGGCCTCACTCTATAAGTATCTCAGCTTGGGAAACCAGTTTGGTGGGAGTCAAATGTCAGTGAAAAGAGCATGTTTGAGAGCATGCTCAGTTTCTGAACTATAACTAAGTTCAATTGTGAGATCTTCATCCTAAGAGTACAATACTCAGTATGCTTGGTGGTCCTATGATCATACGATGAGGCTTTTGATTTTGCTTGCTAGATATATTTTTTTAACAGCAAAAGTAATGCTTGTGTAACCATGATATTGCTTTGCCCTTTCAAATCATTCGCCTGTGCATGGTCTCACCATGGAGGCCAAAATATTAGCGGAAGCCACCTCTGGGCTAGCCTGGTCGTACCACACCATAGTACAAATTACAGAAATTATGATTGACCTGAGTGTACGAATGGCTAAGGCCAGGCTACCTCTGGGCTCTGGTCCTCCCGGTCTTGCGCAGTAGTTGCAGCAACGTGCAGAGCCTGCTGTGAATGTTTAAAAGGAGACGACCACCCTGCACATGTTCAGATTAGAATGGCCGAGTTTGTTGCACATTTTTATAGAAAGCCAATGAATTTTAAAGGAAAAAAGGGACACTAAAATCCCCACAAAGAAAGCTTTAGGTTTTTTTGTCAGCTGAGGACGAGCCGCTTTTGTTAATGGTATGGTGGTCCACCACCATGGCGGGGCCTGGCTTAAGCTAGAAATACCCTATCCAGATATTATAATACATCAATACCTTTGGACCAGTTTGGTTCAGGCTGAAAATGTACTCTAAAAGTACAAAAAAGCACAAATTTAGAAAAAAATCTTACACAATGAAAAAGATAAAAAAAGTATTCAGCTGCAAAACATTAGTTTTTGACAAAAGACCTTGGTATAACAGCACAGCCACTCCTGGGTATGTGAAAGACCCCTTTAACAATAGGGGGTACTTGTGCCCTGTCTACAGTGCAACTGGGAACCACTGGTCTATATTATGTTATTCTCACAAAAGTATTTATTTATTTCAAGTGTGGACAGTAACATGACATTACATTACATAGTACATTTGGGTTTTTGTTTAAGTACACATTTGCCTTACACTACATGATTTATTTGTAATATATTTTATTTTAGACCGTTGGTTTAATTGCCAGACAGCCTTCCATTAGGTTCACTTCTAATCGTATTTTCTCTTTAACATCTACAATAGTAATAATAATCAATGACTTGATTAGGAGAGCCACACATCATTTAGAAACCAGTTTCTCTTCTTCTCTTTTGTGTGAATGAAAGTGGAGATCATAATGTGTGTTTATTTATGAGGCTTTCATAGCACATCTGTGTTAGCAGTACTTCAGTTCAATCCTGCTGTCTATGAATTATTCACACGACACTGCCCCATAGTTCATCATCCATATTTAATGTTTAGGATCGCATAGTCTTAACTGCAATTTTCTGTTGAGTAATGGAACAATGGAAAACAAGTTACTGATGAATGCTGACATTGATTATGTCAGCATATTGTGAATATTTGAGGAGATAAATGTAGAAAAGGGTTTATTTAAGTGTCAAACACAAACCGTTTTGATGTCTATTGAAGTTTGAAATAATTGAGAGGAAATTACAAGAAATTGAATACACTTGTTTTTTTTTTAAACTTTATAACCAAACCAGTGAATTGTTTTATTTTCATTATTGTGAAAATTAAATGAGTGAATATTAATACAATGTATGTTTTTTAATCTTGTTTCAGGATTTACTTGAATATTAACAAAGAATTTTGAAGAACAAGAACACAAGAATAAGCCACCAGCAATAAAACACATGAAGAACAAAATGTAGTCCACTTTGGAAAACAAAGTACGCCTTCTGCTTTTTCCTCTTTGTGCATTTAAAAAAAGCTTTAGAAAAAGGACCTGAACTCAAGTGTATTCTGCTTGGTCACATTTGGAGATTATCGTTCTCTGGCCTCTTTGTACCAGCTGAGCCTCCCCAGATCAGAGCAGGCTCTCTCACACACAGAGAGACGGGGGCTGAGGCTGGAGCAGAGCTTTGGAGGAGGAGGAGGAAGTGCGGGCGGACTACAGGGCTCCAGGCCCTATGGCCACCGACCCGGGAGAGCCCTCGGGCACAGATGAGTCTACGGAGAAACCCGATGGACAGAGGGAGGAGGGTACCGAGCGGGACAGAACCATCTCACAGCGGGATAGGACTCACAGCACCCCCTCAGACTTTCCCTCCTCCCAGACTGAAGAGCGCAAGTTGGCTGGGGGTGAGGGTGGACAGGAGGTCCAGGGTAAATCAGGCCGTTGCATCTCTTTCTCTGCTTCTCTGTCAGTGGACTCCGGGCAGAAACGTCTGAGAAGAGAAAAGCGCTTCTTTAGAAAGAGTGTAGAGATCTGTGAAGAGAAAGATGAGGTGGACATCCTCCCTGAAGCTTCTCACAGCGCCCCACAGCTGGACCTGCAGAGTTCTGACTCAGTCTTCACCAGCAGTGCCCCACAACAAGAAGCTGCCTCGGTCTACACCGCTCTGGGCCAGGACTCCTCCAGTCCTGGCACAAGCCTGGATCCAGGGAAAGACCTGTCACTGTCAACCCAGAAGATGGAGCGGGACAGAGAGCAGGAGGAGGAGGCGGAGATGAAGGCTGTAGCCACCTCTCCTGGAGGACGTTTCCTTAAGTTTGACATTGAACTGGGTCGAGGAGCTTTCAAGACAGTTTACAAAGGGCTGGATACGGAGACGTGGGTGGAGGTGGCCTGGTGTGAACTACAGGTGAGTTATGTTTTGTATGGTGAAACACTACTTTTACATATTATTTGTCAATTGAGGTAATTCCTGAGTCTTAAATAATAAAGTATGATATTCTTTATTTTTTGTATTGCCGGTACTAAGTTTATGGACAATTCTTTTTTATAATCTATTAGCTGAACTTGTTTTGAACCTGAAGAATTAACTTCTTTCAGCCTTATGTCGGAACTACGATAACTGAAATGAAACACTACTCTATTCTATGTGGTTGTGAATTGAAGTACTTTTGACAAATTTGTCTAAGTAATGGGAAACATATAGTGCCATATACAGCTTGAACTTTGTTCACATTTTTTCATGTTTACAACCATAAACATAAGATTTTATTTTGATTTTTTTTACTGAAAATGTATGCATAGACAACTGTAACAGTAACAGACAACTGTGAAGTGAACATCAAGTGATACATATTATTATTTTAAAGAAATACAAAAGTTAGGCCTGCCTTTTCAGCTTTTTCCGAAATGTTTTAAAACATTTCGGAATGTTTTGAAACATTCTTAATGTCTGCTGACTGTTTGCAACTTGCCCTAATGATGAAATAGAGGTCTCCTGTGTGTAATCTACTCTCAGTATAAATAACAATGTTCTGTGAGGTCCTCAGAGCTGTGGTGGGAGTGTATTGTTCACAAAACATCATGAGGCCAAGGAGCACACCAGAGAGGTCAGGGATAAAGTTGTGGAGAAGTTTAAAGCAACGTTTAGTTTTACATCTTACTGTAAGAGTAAGAGTATGGCACCACTGCAAAGTTACAAAGACACGGCCGTCCACCTAAACTAACTGATTGAACAAGGAGAGCGCTGGTCAGAAAGGCAACCAAGAGCCCCATTATGACTCTGGAACAGAAGCGAAGTACTGCTGCTGAGCTGGGGGAATCTGCACATGGGAAAACTGCCTTTAAAGAGCAGTGGCAAGAATAAAGCCATTATTGAAAGAAGGCCAAAAGAAATACTGTTTGATTTTTGCCAGAACTCATATGGCGGACAAAGCTACTACGTGGAAGAAGGTGCTTTGGTCAGAAGAGACAAAAATTTGCGTTTTTGGCCCAAACGCAAAACGTTATTTATGACGCAACACTGCTCATCACACCATCCCCAGTGTCAAATATAGTGGGGGGATACATCATGTTATGGGGATGCTTTTCTTCAGTGGGGACTGGGAAAATTGCAAGAATAGCTGGGAAGATGGATGGAGCCATGGGGCCTTTTTGGAAGAAAACCTTCAGGCAGGGGCAAAGATTCACCTTCCAACGGGACAATTACTCTAACCTCAAACCTACATTTACAATGGAATGGTACTAATGGTCCAGTCAAAGTCCAGACCTAAATCCAATAGAAAAACTGTTCTCCATCTAATTTGACAGAGCTCGCGATGTTTTGAAACAAGGAATGGGCTTAACTTTCTGTTTCTTGTAGAGTCATACTCCAAAAGACTTGCTGCTGTTATATCAGCAAAACAGGGTTCCACAAAGTATTTCTTGTGCTGAATGACCAACTTATCGGTTTTCTATAAAAATAAAAAAAACAGAATCATGTATCATTTTGCTTTTACTTATTAGTTGTCTGTTTCTTGTGTGTGGACTTTCAGTAAAAATGTGTAGATTTATTGCCTGACATTAAAGAGGCATTTTGTGGTAAACCATCTTATCTAACAGCTGGCATTGTGGGAATAAGTCATGTGTTGGGCTTCAAGCTAATTCCAATACAAGAGACTATAATCCTCGAGATCAAGCCCTGTCTGTCCAGTATTACGGCACTCTGCACTTGACCTGGACCCACCTTTACTTAAGTCAGACTGATTTACCATTCATTTTTAGGTTTGTCAACTAAGACAAACCTATTTCATGTATCTAAATTTCACTGCTAAGGGGCCACACACACAAAGGTTTTAATTATAAAAATAGTCAAAAATATACCTCTTTCTTCATTTTTGTTGAGGAGAAAATTATTATTCAACAGTATGTAATTGATTAAAAGATAGTACATTATTAGCAGAGTGGCATAAATTCACACACAAGATTACAACAACAGGCAAATATTCCTTGTGTGTTCAGGGATTATATTTTATTCCCAAGTAATTTTCAACATTCAAACTCTGTCTGAATTGAGATGTGTAGAAATGAGGATGCTGTCATTTCTATCCCACTTAAATGCTTCAATCCACTAACATTATTTTTAATTGATATTTTAAATTTATTCAATCTGTGCTGAGTAGTTTAGGAAACTAATGAACAACCATGTTAATTAAAAACATGTGGCTTTTAAATCTCACACCTGTGGCAGGGGCTACTTTTGATATAATCATCCACTTATGCAATAGAAGTTGTTGTCAATGTAAGACATTATTAACAACTTTTAACAGAACAAGCTGTGTACATCGTTGTGAAAAATAGTGACAATGGCCCTGGTATGTGGTACATACATACCAGCAGTCAGTGCCAGATTATTTTCAGCCCTAGCATCAGGTTGCTCATTGTATATCACACTATGATTTATACGATCACTTCAAACTCCTTAGTCCAAACTCAATTTCTTCTTATTTGTTGTACCCTGGGCTTTCTGTGTAAATGCAGAAAAAATTGGGCATGGTTTCATTTATCTGTATGAGAGACCTGAAGCTGTAGGTGCGATGCAAATCACGTTTTTGCTCAAGCATTTGTCATTGCTGCTTCATATCAGGGATGATGCCACAACAGGCCTATGTTAATATGGACTGTAGACTCCAGCTCTATGGGATATTTGAAAGGCGAATAAACATTTTGAAGTTTTAATCACATTGAAATTAGTGCACTGAATTTTCAGTGACTGAAATTCAAAGAAAAAAATATGAAAACATGCTGGGCAATAAATCCAATTTAGGCAATTAATCAGCTTTTGAAAAAATCGAATTTGTGAAAAATGTGAAAATTGTTAAATGGATTGAAGGATATTGTGAGAGCTACAGCAGCACATGAATTATACTTGCAAAATCAGCACAGTCTGTACAAGACTTTTATAATACGTATTGGGGGAAACAAATTAAAAATAGTTTTGAAACTTGAATATTGAGCGGAAAGATCAAAAAACATTTTTAAAGGCAAAGTCTGTCTTGGATGACTTTAATGAAAATCAATTTAAAATGGAAATCGTCCAAAGCAGGGAAAAAAAAATTCTATATTTTACTTTTTTGCCATATTGCCCAGCCCTAGTTACAAATGGAAAAATTTAACCTAATTTAGATTTCAAAATCCATTGACACAAAAAAATCTTCTATAAGCTCTCTCTTCCGATCGCTGGAGTAGAGCAAGTGTAAAGCTGTGATCCAGGGAGTTAATTTCAGACAGTAGCTGCTCATCAGACTTCCAACAAAAAACCCTGCACAGACAGCACTGATTCAACCAGTTCACCCAGACTCAGATTAGTCTAGACAAGCACCATAACAATTGTCTGGCAAATGCCATCCAACCTGTTCCTTATGTGCTCTGATTAGATGACATTTGATTGACAGTGCCGAGTAAATGCAAAGTACTAGAGAGAGTAGTAGTTGAGTGTAGATAGTATTTATTGTTACATGAGTCCTCCATGGCAAACAGCTGATGGATCAGGCAAAACACCTTGTGTGGTTTACTGAACTTGGCCCACTAGCCTCTGCCTCTAATCTTTGCTGTGGGGCAGTTCTAAACTATACTATCTTGTTAGTTAGAGCTGTGCTATCTTAAGGATATCTAATCCTAGCCACCCGCCACCTAGGATTTTTAGATACTGACGTGCTTCCTCTCTCATGTCCACAAAGAGAAGCCTATGATACAAGTAAATATGGAAAAAATGCTTCTATATAGAGGTCTGAATTATTAGACTTTTTGATGTATGTTTTGTATCTATCACAGTGCATTATTTCAAATAAGAAACCATGAGATAAGAGAGTCAAAAGCTCATAACAGACGGTTATGTACAACTTGACAGACCTAAAGAGATATTTACAACACAAATCATTGTACAGCAAGCTCACTGTGACATTTGTGTCAGTGGTTTCATAAGTCATGTCTATTTCTTGACCCTTTATGTGGCCACTTTACCGACCCTTCTGCCTGAGCATATGTCAGCTCAAAAGAAATCTGCAGGTGCATGACTAGTTCCTGTAGAAGACAGACTGAAAACAACACCGTGCATTCAGTAACTGGCCTTGTGATATTGTATCATATATATTACTATGTATACATGTAGATACATAAGAATTCTTGCAGATACAGACAGCATTGCTAAAATTGCATATGAGCAATACATTCCTAACTAGCTTCCAGGTGGTTCTTTACACCTTAGACTGGATTTTTAGACATTTGACTAGATTGACTCTGCAAATAATGCCTTAAAGAGCTTTAAAAGTATTCGTATTACATGAAAGAACATTTGGTAGGTTTCTCAATTACAGTATATGGCTTACAAGCAGTATAATTCACAGAACTCACCAAAAAGCTGGTTCAAGTTGCTCAAGTAAGAGATTCTTATCATTTTTGTCTTGTCGCTATGATTACACTATGGCGCTATCCTGCTAATAACTAGGTCTTATCTTCTGGCCCCTCTCCCTTCATGAAATCCCATGATCAATGCCATTGATCGATGGAAAACCAGCGTTACCTCTATTTATAGTGGAGTCAGTCGTTTGACACAACAGGAGTCGCCACAAAAAACGTTGTCATATTATACTGTAATATTTGTCATACTTAGCTTTTTCATGGGTGTTTGCTGAAATTCCATTTTGTTTCATACTTCTAACTCATTGGCAAGTAAAAAATGCACTCAGCTTTTCTCTCACACTTGAATATACCAACAACAGTTGCTTCTGACATAAATAAAAAAATATATAGCTACCAAGATTAGCCTTGGTTCTTGGTAGTTTTCATAGTCTTTCTTCCATCATGGCTTGGCAGATGCCAAACATGCATTTCATACAGGCCAAAGTGTTGTCAAGTAAGGCCCAATAACCGTGCTATACTACCCTCTTGTGGCAATGAGGCTGTATTCTTGTAAATTAAAATGTTAGTTATCCATGAAGATACATTATTGTTGCATTGTTGCATTCTTTTAACAGGACCGTAAACTAACCAAGGCTGAGCAACAGAGATTTAAAGAGGAAGCAGAAATGCTCAAAGGGCTTCAACATCCTAATATAGTGCGCTTCTATGATTCCTGGGAATCAGTTCTTCGTGGGAAAAAGTGCATCGTTCTGGTGACCGAACTTATGACTTCAGGAACACTCAAAACGTATGTATATCTGCATAAAAAAATTACTTTATAATTGTGATATAACTCATTATAGTGTATCATGTGGGATTTTCTGTTTGCACAGGTACCTGAAACGATTCAAAGTAATGAAGCCTAAAGTCCTCCGCAGTTGGTGTCGGCAGATCCTTAAGGGGCTGCACTTTCTCCACACCAGGACTCCTCCCATCGTCCACAGGGATCTTAAATGTGACAACATATTTATTACAGGGCCTACAGGCTCAGTGAAGATAGGAGACCTGGGACTCGCCACTCTTATGAGGACTTCATTTGCCAAAAGTGTTATAGGTAAATGTTGTCTAATGGAGAGTAAAAAGTGAGTGGTTGTGAATCAATCTTAGGTCTCTGCAATTATTGTATCAACCCTCTACAAAAATGTATTATTTTTCTTGCCTTGGTGTGCCATTAACAAAAATAAATAAACATAATTTGCTTCTATCTTTACAGGAACTCCAGAGTTTATGGCCCCTGAGATGTATGAGGAACACTATGATGAGTCTGTGGATGTGTATGCCTTAGGGATGTGCATGCTGGAGATGGCTACCTCAGAATACCCTTACTCTGAGTGCCAAAACGCTGCACAGATCTACCGTAAAGTCACAAGTGTAAGTCTGTGGACGCTGTAACTTCGAAGTGCCTGAAAAACAAAAAAGGTCTTATTGGTTACATAACATTTCTTTATACAGGGGATTAAACCAGCAAGCTTTGATAAAGTAAATGACCCTGAAATTAAGGAGATAATTGAAGGTTGCATCCGACAGAACAAGAGCCAGAGGCAAGATTTTAGCACTAGGATTTAACCATTACCAGATTCATAGTGTGCCAAATGGTACCAGTTGCTTGATGTGTTTGTATCCTTTTGTTGCCTGCAGATTATCAATTAAAGACTTACTGAATCACGCATTCTTTGGAGAGGACACAGGGGTACGGGTAGAGCTTGCAGAAGAAGATACAGGGCTTCAGGACTATCTTGCCTTGCGGATCTGGGTTGATGAGCCCAAAAAACTCAAGGGGAAACATAAAGACAACGAGGCTATTGAATTCAGCTATGACCTGGAAAATGACAGCGCTGAAGAAGTCGCTCTTGAAATGGTGAGTAAAAAGTCCATTTTCAACTACTATTGTCTATAGGCACAGTGTTCTGACACATTACTTTGGGAAACTACCTCTTGTATATGAAACATAAAGTATTCCAACTTTGTGGAGAAGATATACAAACCTTCTCCACTGGGTTTTACTCCTCCAGCACACAGACATTGGATCAAAAATTAGATCAGAAAAACCATGGTCATCATGTCAATTTTTTTGGAATTTGCAAGAAATTTGCATTGACACTTTGATCAGAACTTGATTAACTTTGGTGGTGCCTTTAAAGCTTGAATATCAGCTACGTCCAGATAGATTCTGTAAATTAACATACAATAAAGACAATTAACCTAGTCACTTCATTCTCTCTTTCTCATCACAGGTAAAGTCAGGCTTCTTCCATGAAAGCGATGCCAAGGTGGTGGGAAAATCCATCCGGGATCGTGTTAATCAGATAAAGAAGTCACGTGAGCGCAGACAGCAGCAAATCCTCCAACAGCAGCAAGGATTTGAGGAGAAAAGAGACCCATGCCTTATCTCCTACACATTCTCTCACCCCTCGGGCTACTCCTCCTTGGGTCAAGCCGGACAGTCAGAGGACATCCATGATGTGGACAAATTTGTTCAACAATATAATATCAGTGGGACCACTCTCATCTTGCCAGGTTTGTACCCATGTCCCTTTACTGAACAGGTCATTACAATGATGAGTTTTGAGCCATATTATTATTCTCATTATTATTCTTCACACAGGGGAGAGTTTAGGCTCAGCTAGCTGTGAGTCTTACGCGAGTGGACAGAGCCAGGTGTACTATCAGCACGGGGACTCATCTTCCCATCTTGCAAGTGTATGTTTTTTTTGTTGGTTTTTTTAACCAAGTTATAAAAAAAATAATATACATTCTAACAATTTCTCAATGGTTTGTACAGAATACTCCTGGAGTAGTCCATCCTCAGTTACCATCATTGGGAGAAAGTGGCAGTTTCCAAGTTGCCCCTGGTCAGGCAGAAGGAGCATTTCCTCAACAATACTTTCAGGTGAAAGGACAACTATACTAACTTTATGCTTAAGACAATATTAATGTATTAAACTCGAAAATGTCCTTAAAGTAGCATTATGTAATATTTGCATGTCAAGTCATCATTAAATGGCCCCAATATTTCAAATTGCGTTATTAAATCATGTTCTTTTCGAATACATCTTTAACTGATAACAGTTGATCAGCCGAGATATTTGAAAATCAAAATTAGTTTTACGACCCGTAAAAGTTGTTATTGTTTTCATTTCGATGTCCCACCCTCCGCCGTTTCACCAGTCAGGAAGTCCGAGATCCGGGTTGCCAGAACTCCCCGCGGCTAGCTAATCTCAGTGGTAAAATAACAGAACTAAAAGAGGTCTTGTTATGATTCTCAAATCCTTAATGACAAAACAAAAACTAAAACGAGGATTTAAATCGGGACGCCTTTGAAAAAAAAAAAAGACAATTGAAGGCGGATAAAAACTTTCCGTGATGCAAAACTTGCTGCGTTGAGAGCGTTCTTCATTGACAGTTCAAGTACCTGCCTGGAGTCCTTTGAATGCAATGGTGGTCTAATGGTTAAATCATAACGCTTGTACCCCAGCTGCCGGGGTTCGAGTCCGGGTGAGGTATGTTTTGGATTAAACTATATAGGATTTATTCTATGACAGAAAGCTCAAAAATGGTAAAAGGTAAAAACAAGCCGTTATTTGCAGATGAAAGCTAAAGTAATTCGATTATTTTGAGACCACATGTACCCCAATTAAAGTAATGATTGTCTCTTTTTGATGTGGGACTTGTATACATGTATGTTTAAAGAATAGGGAATAAAAATAATCGAAGGGTAATATCCTCTGGAGGAAGCCCTGAGCTTTATGCGCTGAAGAAATATGTTCCAAGATCTATTCTTCATTGAATTTATTTGTATACAATATTGGTCGAATGGTTAAGTCATAGTGCTTGTACTTCAGATGCAGGATCGAGTCTGGACGAGGTGTGTTTTGGAATAAACTATTTAACATTAAATGACAGCTTGCTCAAGAACGGCAAAAGGTAAAAACAAGCCGTTTTTTGCAGATTAAAGCTTAATTGTAATAAGAATCATTTGAGACCACATGTACCCAATTAAAATGATGTTAGTCTCTTTTTGATGTGGGACTTATACATGTATGTCTAAAAAATAGGGAATAAATAAAACTGAAGGGTGATATCCTCTGGAGGAAACCCTGATGTTGATGCGCTGAAGAAATACGTTCCAACATTCATTCTTCCCACTCCTATTTTGGACATCAATTGCTTATTTATTTTGCATAATCAATGTATAATTACATTGCTTTTATTTGTTTTTCTCATCTCAAATATCCAAATACAAAAATACAAAAAACATAAAAAAACATTAATTCAACATTAGTATGGCTCATGGCAATGTGAATGGAGACAGTCAAACAATTGATAAAATAATTCCTTGTGTTTGTTGCTGGATTTGGTATGCATCTGGCAACCTGAGTCAGGGAGAGTGGGAGATGACAACAAAATATTGACTGTGACTGCAGTACCACTTTTGGCCAGATCTTTACATGATGCTCCTTTAAATTTAGAATAAACCCCTATTTTAATTTATAAATGTAGATATATTATATAATAGTAACTGGAATAGAGATACTTTTTTATTTAAATAAAACCAAAATGACACCTGATTTATTTATTTTATGTAACACTTAAAAGTGGGGCCCACTCAAGATAAGATAAGATAGACCTATTTGATCACACACAGGAGAAATGTATAAGCACCCATATAACATGAGCTAATATCCAGTGGAACCCTCGTCAGCTGCAACCACAGCAGCAAGTCAACCTATTGTTAGAGATACTATTATAATAAAGTTATCTGTGTTCTGTGGGAAACCTGGCATAATTAACCTGTTGACAATTTACGCTTTTGCCAAAGATTGTACTTACCTATTTTTCTACTGCTGTCTTCTTCCCCCTCTGCCAACCCCTTCTACCCTTGTTCATTACTCAATGCAGGCTCATACATACCCAGCTGATGCATTTTCTATTGCCACTCTCCATGGGTCACTACCTCCTTCACAAGCATTCATGCCCCCTGTTTCACCACAGGTGCCCTCTAATGTTCACACTGCATCAATGTCAGTTAGTGATCAAGCTGGACTAGGGGGAACCATTGTGCCCCTTGCTCAGCAAAGCCAACCCCCTGCCACTCCCATGCAGCCCACTGACATCATTCCCCAGACAGCACCCCAGCACACACAGCCTGAGCTGATCCCTCAGCAATCTATTGTCCAGCAACAACAGATGGGGATGGATCCACAGGCCTCCACCCTGCAGCTTCCACCATCACAGCAGCAACAGCAGCAAATGGAGGCCCAGGCCACTCTGCTTCAACAACAAGTGAGTACCACTCAGGTGCTCCCGGATCACGTTCAGCAAAGCCTCTCGTCGGCTGTCCACTTACATCAACATGAGCCTTCCCAGCAGCCTGGAGTGCAGCACACGCTCCTGGTTCAGCCTGAGAAACCTGTTGTACCTCTGCACACAGGTAGGGAGCCAGCTCTGCCAATACGGAACCCAAAAGAGCAGCAGGCTTTTACACAGCAACAGTCAGGGGAACTTAGCAAGCAGCAGCAGCTTCAGTCCCAACCCTTGTTTGTACAACAATCCCACCAACTTGAGGCCCATCAACAGGCTATGGTGGAGCAACACCAGACATATTTCCAACAACAGCTCGATCAGCAAGAACAAAAAGCTCTGCTTCAGCAACAGCTACAACAAGTAGAGCAGCAGCAAGCACAGATCCACAAACAATTACTGGATCAAGCCTTGATCAAACAGCAGCATGAGCAACACATATCGCCTGTGCAACCATCACAGCCCTCTCAAACCACGCCGATTTACTTTCAACAGACACAGGAGGTACAGAAGACTCTGCTAAATGAACAATTGTTACAGCAACAGAATCAGCATCAGAAAGAGCAGGAACTTCACCAGCAAGCTCTCCTGCAGCAGCACCTACAGCAGCAGGCTCTCCTACAACAGCAGCAGGAGCAGGCTCAACTCCAACAGCAAGCCTTACTCCAACAACATCTGGAACAGCAGCGGCAACAACAGGCTCTGCTACAGCAGCAACAAGTAGAAAGGCAAACCCTGATTCAACACTTGCAAGAACAACAACATGCTGCTATTGTTCAGATCCAACAAACTATGAAACAAGATTCTCTTCCTGTTAAATCAAATCAGACACATATTCAAAACCAACCAAATATGCAACATGTCTGTGTGCCACAGTTGCATACCACCCAGTCTGTCCTCACACAGCACCAAGCAACAGAGCCACAGACGCAGACAACTCCTGTCCAGCCTCAGCAAACTATTGCCCAGCCTCAGCGTACTGCACCTATCATGGAGCATTATGTTGCAGTGGCAGGTCAAACTGAAGGTGTGACCCATGTGCATTCAACTGGACAGATTCCTGTACTGGCTTCTGTTACTGTCCCAGCTCACATCCTTCCTCAACAAGGACTACCGGAAATTCAGACCCAACAGCAGTTATTATCTCAAACTGCTGCTACAGTCCCTCATGCATTGAATGAGACCAAAGTAAGTCCACCAGTGGTACTTCAGGGGCATACTCAGCAGGTTCCTTTTCAAACAATGTATTCTGGTTACACAACATCTGCCCAAAGCCAGGGGGGTGCCACAACCTTAGTCCAGAGTCAGGCTATGATGGGTAGTCAATCTCACTGTAATGTACCGACCAATGACCTCCTTGGGTTGACTCCAGTTAAACAAAGTGCTCCGATGACAGGACTAATGCAAGCCCAAACTCAGGGCCTGTCTTTGCAAGTGGCTCCATCTGCAGCTTCTATGAACCTTCAATATGTTGGTCAGTCTCTGTCCCAGGCGGCATCATCACCAGACACAACACACCTTAACCCACAGCACTATCAGCAGATGATGTTGTCTCCTGGAGCCGCAGTTGGATCGCATGCATCTTTGGACGCTGTAAAGTTTGTTTCTAGTCCCCAACCAGTGCAGCACATAGGACAGGCTATCTTCTTAGAGCAGCAACGAGCCATGTATCTTCAACAGCAGGCTGTAGGGAGCAGTGCTGAGTCAGCAATGTCATTCCCTCATTCTTCAGAATCTCCACAGCTGAAAGGTCTTTCCCAAATCCAGCCACCTCAGACAGCTCCTTCACCGCAGACCTTGGCTCAGTTACCAATGCAGACAACCATGGGTCCAGGCCAGCCGCAAACACCCCAAACGCAAGTGTTGCATGAGGATCCAGCTCAACCTGCCCCACCTCCAGTTACTGCTGGAGCTACACAGATACTACAGGACAACCTGCCCCTGTACAGCCATATTGTTGCTGGTGCGCCCCCTTCCCCTCAGCACCAGGTGAAACAGATACATACACAGCCTCTTCCACAGACTCTGACTGAGGTACCCACAGCTGAACTGTCCCATATCTTTCCTGCGCAACAAGCAGCCCTCAGTCCTACTCACACAACAACATCACTACCATCCCTTTCATTGCTGCAATCCAACAATCCTGCTACACCTGCACCAGATTTGCCTTCATCTCCACCAGTTGCCCAGGTTATCTTACCGGGATCTGGCAGTCCCTTTCCAACCTCCCCTCCCCCTGTTGCCGTTGCTAATTTAGAGCTGCTTGACTCTAATGCCCCCATCCTACCCAAAGCCTCACTGCAAGACTGTGACCTTTCCCTGCTTGGCATTACTCAGGTACAGGTTTAACATATTTTTTCTAATTTTAATTCAATTGAATCAATACTTTGTATGTATTTGATGTCTTAAGTTTTTGAAACGTTAACTTTTTTCTTGCTCTTCAGGATGGATCCACTCTATCTATTAAAGATGGTCTTTCTACATTTGGGTAGGTATTTTTGACAGGACAGCGTAGTGTCAGCTGGGTGTAGGAAGGACACTTAGCAAATTGTTTTATTGTGAAAGCAATCACAAATCCTGACATATTCTATATATTACATAAAAGTGTGTCATAAAGTAAAGGTTACTGCGTTAACCTGTCTTCCTCAAGCTGGGAGTCGTTGTGTGTCCTTGGTCATAATATGGGTCACTGGGTGAAAACGGTGCATGCATATTTAGTCAAGATGACTTCTTTTGAAACTGTTTCTGCGATGGATCTCTCCTGGACAAACTAGGCATTACAACACTTATTTTTCGAATATACAAACATGACCTGGCATAAAAACATCCAGAATTATGTAGTTTGGACGACTTTGATTGATGGGTAACATATTTTTTAACAAAAAAATTACTATGTTTGTTATGATAATCAAGACATTTACACATTTTTTTTTAATTGTGTCATGTACTATACCTTTGCACTGCCTTGCTTATTATTTAATCGTTTGAAACTTGTGGCGATCATCTTTCTCTAGGTCTGTTCAAGGAAGTGGAGAAGCAAGCTTTCAGCTTATGGCCAATGAACAATTAGAAATGCTAAAATGTTTAAGAAGGTCATCTTGTCAAAAGCCTGACAAAGTGTTGCATCAGTTCCAGCTGACCATGCTGCAGGTAAAAAAGCATATGTAACACCATATTATTTAAGCTCTCAACATCAAAACAATTGAATTTTTTTCAGTTGATCCATCGCCAGATGTTAAATCCTTCATTATGGAATATCAGCAGATTCAATTATCAGTATCAGTGAAGAAAGCCCCCATAGGCTAAAAATCAAGACAAGCTAATCTAAATCTAAACTAAGACAGTGGCTTATGATCCAAATAATAAACTCATCAGTGAAAATGGTGAAGGTAGTTTCATGCCATGGGCATGTATGTCTGTAGAACAGTGGTTTGTCCAAATACCTTTGGCCCTTCCAAAAGTGGAATGAAAAAAACTAGTTTTACCTTAGCACTTGTAATTTACCGTTCACCCAATTCAGATTTAAATCCCCTCAAAATAAAACTGACACTGCAGTTACATCACATCTTGTTTGTTTCATGTTAAATCCATTGTGGAGGTGTACAGATTCAACTGAGTTGTTGTCCTCAGGTGTCCAGCAGTGGGGACAATATGGTTGAATGTCAACTGGAGACCCACAGCAACAAGATGGTGACATTTAAATTTGACATAGAAGGAGATTCTCCTGATGATATTGCTGATTATATGGTAGATATATTAATAAAATAGAATATGTAATATTCTTCCAGATACAACATTAACATTAACCCCATAATGGTTTTCATAGGTGGAGGAAGACTTTGTTCTGGAGATGGAAAAAGAGACATTTGTGGAGAAACTAAGAGCTATTGTTAAACATGCTCAAGAAATTCTTCACACCAATTTACAGGTATTTATATATTACATGTTGATCATGCACTTTTTGTTCTACTTTAATAGAGTTAAACTAAAGTGTAACCAAACACACTCTCTGTAGACTGGATCCACAGACCAGTTACATGTGGGCACTCCAACTTCTGCTTCTGGTTAGTGGTTTAATAATCCTAATTCTATGTTTTGTCTTTCACTATTCATTAACATTTAATTTTTTCTAGGAGAGTCAGTTCCTCATTCATCTCCTGTAGGGCGATGGCGGTTCTTCATCAACCAAACAATCCGGCACAGAGACTCTTTATCCAGCCAAGGGGCTGTAACCACAACTGCAGATGAAATGCTTGGCCAACTCTCAGAAAATGGTAATTATTTTGGTCCATATATTTTATCACCTTTTAGAAACATTCTGTTTATTCTTAAAAAGTGGGTTCCAATAACTGTTGTATGCTTTATGATTACTTACAGATTAACATTTTTTTTTTTATAGATCATGAGGCTTGCAGTCACACGCACGCTGCTCCTGTTCCAGCTGTCTCTTCTGTCTCAGCTCCAGCCTCAATGATCCCTTCTGCTATAGCAGCTTCTATTCCTCATGCTGCTGTTTTTGAGCCTATTTCTGCTCCATCCTCCTCTTTACAGTGTCCTATTCCTGAGATGTCTTCAGTCATCACATCAGCGTCTGTCAATCAGACTTACAATACACTTTCCACCATGGCTGCAGCTGCTGTTGTGACGCCAGCCCAAACTGTGATTCTGCCCTCAGTAAATGCATCTCCTGGGAGCAGTGGTTGCTCAGTTTCCTCTCATAGTTTAGCAGATCCAGTAATGATTAACCCAGTTCCAAATGTGCCCTCTAAATCAGTTCAGTCTCCTACCACTAGCACAACAGACATCGTATCATCTGTCTGCATGGATCAACAGGCCCTTGTCCAGGCAATGAGCCTAACCACATCTCAGAAAACTCAGACTCTGCTTCCTTCAGTCCTACAGGGACCGCAGACCCATCACCTGCCCCTCCAAAATCAGGTTCATAAGAGTCATGTGGGCCCAGATAAGCTTCTTATCCAACAATCTGTGCAGTTACAACAACAACTAATGGAGCAAGTGCCAATGCAAATCAGACAACATCAGAATGTGCCTCTGCAGACATTTGTTCCTGTAGCTCTTCCTTTACAGCATGCAAATATTCAACCTGGGACTCAGTATTTACAGCACCCAATTTCACCTCTACCACAAAAGGCTCCCACTGCAAGTGCTGCACCTCTTCAACAGACACACCCTGAGCAGTTGAATCCTCAACAGGACCAACAACAGAAGCTTTTACAAGGAAATGTAGCTTTAAACCCAGATCCAATGCTTCCATTGTCCATCAGTCATCAGTTTGTTCAGCAGCAGTCACAGCTTTCTGTTAGTACTGTACCACCAATGCAAATACAACAGCCAACACACTTTACCCCTGAGACCCAGCCTGTGCCATCACAGAAACTGCCTCAGAACTTTGAACAGGACAGTGGACAAAAACAGCAGTACTTTGCTATGCAGAAACAGTCATCCTTGAGTCAACGGTCTGAGTCAGAGCTTTCCACTGGCGAGGCAAGTGTGACAGAGGATACAGGGAGCCATTATGGAGCCCCACAACCTTCCTCAGATTCACTGCTGCCCCCTTTTAACATCACCGAATCCCCTCTGCCAGCACAGGTCCATGCTATGACCCCATCTCCTGCTCAACCCTCATCTGTTGCTGAGTCTGACAGTGAAGGCCCACCAAAAATAGAATTTGTTGACAATCGAATCAAAACTCTGGATGAAAAACTACGCACTTTGTTGTATCAGGAGTATAACAGCGCTGCAGCAGTGGCTGGTGGAGCTCCCACATCTGTATCTGCTGGTTCCACAGCAGGTGCAGACGAATTCTCACAGCCAGTAGCCACTCTTACTGGATCCTGTTCTCTTCAAGTCTGTTCCTCTGATGCCTCTCCACATTCCTCAACCTCAACCTCCTCCTCCACCACGCCCCGCTCGTCTTCATCCTCCCCTGAGCTGGACAGAGATGACAAGGATGAAGAAGGTCGTCTTAAGTCATCTGAGGTTATACCAATGAAGCAGCGGCCATGTCTCCTTACGGAGACCAACATTCTCTCCCCTATAGAGACTGACCCAATCAGCACACAGCGACCACCTATCCCTGAGGAACCTATAATACTTGTGAGTAAAAACTGTATGTCCCTTTCTGTGACTCCACACATCGTTGTTTTTTATATATTTATGTGTTTTAATGTTTACATATGAATGTTTGTAGCCATTATTTATTGTCTTAACTATTCTAGGCTCTACCCATTCAATCTGACACCAGTACTACAGGAGAAGCTTCCTGGCCCCTCAATCAGCAGCCGATCCCCCTCCGGCATGGACAACAGCAGCACAATGCAGGAGGTGGATATTTTGGCCTAAACCTGACATGTCCTAGTATCAGAAATCCTGTTAGCAAGAAAACGTGGACACGCAAATTCAAAAACTGGGCGTGCAAACTGCGCCACTCCGCCAACTTGTTCAAGAAAACCAGAGTCCCGCAAGGTAGCGTCATTATAGGAAGCGAGAGCACGAGAGTGCGAATGGGATGCTGGGGCATGATCCTAAACCTAATAGAATATAAATAGTGCTAGTTTGATAACATAGTAACTGCATTAACCCTCAGTAATACTGAACAAAACTGCTAAATATGTTTTGTATTGTAACGTGACTATAGTCATCATGTTATTGTGTTATTGTCACTACATACTACATATTGTTTTCCCAATTTCCTTTTAACAGAATTTAATTTCCTTGGAAGTCTTTCTTTTTGCATGGGTTACTCAGAGACCAGTGAAGAGTAGAGGCACAGTGCCTGATGCCTTTGACCAGAACATATCACGTCACATCACCCTTTTCTCTGCCCTGTGTTCCTGGGCACAGTCAGCAACCACAGCTCACCTCGTCTTCATCTGATGGTTCAGTGCACACAGCACCGCGCTACTGGCTTCACAACAGATAAGATAGATGAAAAGTCACTAGCCTTTACTACATATCTCATACCCACTCAATTCTCACATTGAATATAGTGTTGGGTCGGATAGGATAAAGTATTTCAGTTCAGTCACAGGGCATGTTCTTTTATGAAGCTACTTTTGATCCCTGCATGATTCACATATCATTGCTTTATTTGCAAATAAACATCAGATTACAGCTATTTATTGTATTGTCCTATCCTAATGGATATAAAATACATTCCCATACCAATGTGTAATGTACAAACTCGCACTTGATTAGATTTCAATGTTGACTTTGTACATTGATGTACAGTATATACCAGTGCTTCTCAAAGCTGGGGAACCGTAAGGTGTTTTTCAGATACAATTCCTCTAGCTTTTCATTGCATTTTGACAAGTCAAGTTTGGTCACTATTTAACACATTAAAATCAAGTATGACAACATCCATTTGTCATACTTTAAAAATCCTTGTGCTACCTTAGGGTCAAAATCACCTGCCACAGTGTTAAAAGTAGAAGAAAAAAAAATCCCTATATTAGGGTCGAAGGAAAAATCATCAAATTGTAATCACTGTGGTAGTTTTATTTTTATTCAGCAGTGTGGGTTGCATGTTGATTTCATATTTTGGGGGTTAATGAGCGAAATATTTGAGAACCCCTGGTACATACAATAGTAGCCAATGCAAATAAGAGTGGATGTGTGTGACTGGGTGAGCGATTTACTCACATCAATCCCTGTTTCACTCAATATTTGTTAACATTTTCATGTTGTACCACCCCCTCCTCACAGATATAACTTCTTAAATAGCATGTAAGATTTGTTAAAAAAGATAAATTAATAGTGTAATGTATTTTGCACATTTCATAAGCTTGCATGTAAACCATGTAGGTCTACAAGTTGACAATGTGAGAATAACTCTTTGTTTTTGTGTTTGTCCCCCACCACTGTCTTTGTGCCTTTTCTGTTTGACTTTTTTGTGACAATGTGATCTTTATGTGTCTTGTTTTTTGGTTCGTCCTTCAATTCCCACATTTTATCAGATGAAGCATCAAGCAGTCAGTCTTTAAGTGAAGAGAAGGAGATGCTCAATGAGAACTTCCCTGAGATACGCACTGGACGATTTCAGGTAAGAGTAAATAAGATGTCATTTTTCAGTAGTATAATACTACAGTGTAGTTCTTATCCTGTAACCTTTACAACATATGAATCTCTTACTCTTTTTATTACATGTAATCAAAAGGTCTCTACAGTAAAACTGTCGAGAAAATGTTATAAATATTCCCAAGTGTCATCAGGAATACCACACCTGGCTCTCCTTAGAAAGCTAGGAATTATATTGAATTGCATTCAAACAGTTATCAGTAGACACTGCATTTGAGACATTCATGTATCTTGTACTAATTATGTCTTCAGGTAATTGCAGTGCCTCAATCGGCTCCTCCAAAGGAGGCAACCCTGGACCACAGTAGCACTCTGAGGAAAGTGGGACGTTTTTGTGTCACCCAAGCTGAACCGATTAAAGAGGAAAAGCAGACGGACAGCTCTCCTGTGTCTCCAGACCTAGAACGAGAGAGGAGGAGATCTCGAGCTAAAGAGGTTTATAAAGAAGAGAGTAAGAGGACCCCAGCAATGTCCCGTTCCCATAGTCACGCTTACTCACCCCAAGGCAGTAGTGATGAAGATGAGAGTGAAGTTGAAGATGAAGACCTGAGGAAGGAGCTACACAAACTAAGAGAAAAGTAAGGAGCATAACACACACTCATGTATCCTTGTTTCCTGTTCAAGCTGTGTATTGTGATTTATTTTTTGTATCCTGTTGTTGTCCTTCGGTGTTAAACATTATCATAACAAGAATTACAAAGAAAAAAAACAGAATCAATTATGATGAAGAGGACCATTCACTTTTATGTGTCATGTGTATATTTGCTGTTTTTAAACATATTTAGTATATTGTGTATGTACATCTGTTACAGACACATCAAGGAGGTGGTGTCGCTTCAGGCTCAACAGAACCGGGAGGTGCAGGAGCTTTATTGTCAACTTCGATCAATGAAGGACCAGAGGCAGAGTTTGCCTGTTCCTCTGTCCCAGACTACACTTCTCTCTGCAGCACCTCTAGTTTTATCCCCACGAAGATCCCGACCTGCCAAGGTCAAACTCCGTCGACCACACTCCCACATGGACAACAATGGAATCGCACATTCAGGTATGTTTTTTTATGTATTACAGCTTCATTAATTATTAGCTAAATTTTACTCTGCAGTCAGTATTTAACATGTTGTCGTCATCTCACTAACTCTTTAGCTAGTGAACAGAGAACACTGGACAACCCAGAGCAGCATCTCTCCCAAACTACTCAAAGAGGTACAGTTCACAAAGAGCCAGAAAATCAATCAAAATCAATTTTCCAAAACTTAAATGTAGGGAATAGTTTTTAACACTCACAAAGGGGAGCACAATAAACAACAAGAGAGATAGATTTGTGTTAACCTTGCTATACATCATTTGTCTTTTCTTCTTTTGTTATAAAATAAAGCTACACGTAAAATATGTGATGTTGTTTTTCACAGATCAAAGTCCTCTCAGAAAAAGCACATTTACAGATGAACTGCACAAGTTGGTTGATAACTGGACAAAAGATCCAGTGGGACCTAATCCTCCCAAACCTTCATTGAATCAAATAAAGCAAATTCAGCAAGTGCAGGAGTTAGGGGGGTGGAGCCATTGTACAGAGGTAAGGCAACAAAACCAATAATAGAGAACAGAAAATCAGTATACTGCCCACACCTCAAATCATATCTCCTTCATGTTAACAGCCCACTCAAACTGGTTGGTTTCCAGTTTCCCCCTTGAATCCCCAGGCTTCCCCTGTTCCAGGGACCTTGTCAGTGACAGCCTCCGCTCAAAACCTGTCTGCCCTGCACTCCCTTGGACCAACCCAACAGATGCAACAAAATGTACACCTGCAACAATCTGTCCCCATCCAACAAATGACTTATCAGCAGTCTCCGTTGCCACCACCATCTCGGATGCAAGCACCACAGTCACAAACACAGCCCATTTCTCAACTCTCCACGTCGCAAAGTCAGACACCGTTGCCTTCCCAAATGCCGACATCGCCCGTTTCTGCCACAGCTCCTCTGCTAACTGTCAGTGGCACCACCTCAACTGTGGAAACTGCTGCTATAACCCAAGCCACCTGCTCCGCTGCCTGCTATACAGCTGCTACTCTGCCTTCTAGTGCCAAAATCCACCCAAGCCCCCCCACCTCAACTATTCTTTTGGGTCAAAAATGAAACTCAAGTAAAGTGTAGTGACAAGTTAGGTTTTATGCCATGAAAAAAAGCATTTGGCTAAACATTTAACTAACTCTGAGCTGTGTGTAATGTGTGTGAGATGGGAAGGAATTTTTTTGTATTTAAATAATTTGATAAATATAAAAAAAAAACATTAATGGAATTCATAAATGTGTCTTGCTCCTTACATTACAAGTAACATTAATTATGAAGTGCAATTAGCAATGATAATGAGCATGTCATGTGTATTCCTATTCAATGTTTCAAACATCTACATGGAGGATATACCTATTATTACATTACAATCAGGAACGTACATATTCATTATTACAAATGAGAGCATGTCAAGCATGTAATTTGGTTTTATTTTCTAATCTCAACCTGTCCGTACTTTCCTCCAGGAAACATTTTTTATATTATCTTTGAATGACTGTCCTAATCTAACTTTATGCTGGCAAGTATTACAGGTGTTATTTTAAAGTGTTATTTTAAACATTACACACTTCATATTACACAGAAAACCACATTGGTATAAGCATCAGTGTAAAGTAGACAAACAAGAGGAACAAACTGCCAAACCGTGTTGAAGGGGGTTGCCCCTAAATGCCTTTAAAGTTACTGCATTTTATTTTGAGTATGGATTTATATATTTTGTGTGACATAAGTTTGTTATAGTTCTGTTTTTCATGGTAAAAATACAAATTCGATTTAACCACAATTTATTTTTCTTATTCTTATTGTGAATTTGTTTTTTGTTTTTTTTAAACAGAGTGAATTGAAAAAGCTGTGATGACACTGATAATACTTTCAGACCCAATGCCTTTTGTTGCTTCCCTTTTAATACATGACATACAGTGTTTCTTTTAAGTCATTAAGATGCTTGCCTCCTAGCTTTAACAAATTTGATCTTGTCATACAATATTAAGACTTGTATGATGATATGAACGGCTCCTCTGGAGTAACAAATACAGTATGGCACTTGTTCCCATTTGTAAATCATTTTGACAGCTAAAATTAATGTTGTGAAATGTAAAAAGATAATGTTTGAAAACTCCAAGTGCACACTTGAAAAAGTTATTAAATAACTTATTTCCTTTAAGTCACAAAAGTTCTTCTTAAGTAAAAATCAGCCCTGTTATGGGTTGAAAAATACTTTAATATATGCTTGAAATGTTATCTAAAGGATAAATATTATTTTTGTATGAAATGAGGTGTAAAATTTGTAAAATAATGTTGGATACTCATAATGGATTATAAAATGCTGAACACACTGGGGCTTATCTTTTATATTATTTTTTTCTTTTTTAATGGAAAACCACCAGAATTTTAAGAACATTGTCAATAAATTAAGTCATAATTGCATTGACTTTCTCCTTTGACAAAATACAATAGTTAGGTTTTGGAAATTAAGGCACCAGCAAGTTGATTTTCATTTTGTTTTACTGTGCTTGTTTTTTTTAAATCTAGCTAAACTTTAGTGAAGTCCCACAGAGAGCCACCAAGAAATTAAACCTTATATGTTACTGGTGATAACCTCTGTAGATACCGTATGACTAATTTTGTTGATAATATTTATGTTTTGTAAACTAATTATAATAAATGATGTGTTTACATCCTGAGCATAATGTATTTGGTCTGATCAAGTAGGCTGTGTGTGTGTGATTATTGAGAGCAAAGAATTAATCGCATTTTAGTTATCGCCATCACTCACACAAGCTCATTTTCCACGAAGATTTTCACTTTTCCACTATGTCAGACAATATACAGTAGACATGTATAACTTTTACTGGAAGTTATTTGAAATTTCTGTAAATTGAATGCCAAACTTTACTTGTCCGCGGGGTTTTTTGCGGCTGAAGCATCAGTGTAAAGTCCAAGTTGGGCTTTTAGTGCATGCCATTGTGCGAAATAATCTCCAAAAAACACTGGTAAACAGGCCGATACAGTAGTTAAATCCACTGGAATTAAATGCATCAATAAGAATATGCAAGACTACTTTAGAGACACACTATATTTTTCAAAAACTGCTTATGTTTCTGATTTGATGTGGCTGCTAAAATTAAAATCTGAGTCCATTATTACCCACAGATATCTGATTTGAAGGTTAGGGAGAGAGACTGGAGGTGACAGATGAGAGAACACTCTGTTTGTTTCTGGGAACAAAAGACATAATTCAGTCAGTTCAGTTTTGTCTGTGATGGAAGTTGTTTTGCATCCACTCACTGATCTGTTGGATGCAGTGAAGGAGTGAGTCCACTGGTCCATGTTCTCCTGCAGTCAATGAGACATAGATCTGAGTGTTGTCCAGTTAGTACTGCGTACTAACTGACTTAATGGAAAAATGTGTGGAGATTACCAGGATCAACCCCTGTGGCACTCCACACGTCAGAGCCATATGATCTCAACAAAGTACTTCCTGACTTCTTTATAAGACCAGACAACTTAGAGAGGCATAACCATCTGATGCCAGACCACACTGCACTGAATGTATCTTATGTTATCTGATCCAATAATAAATGCATTTGAATATTAATAATAGTATCAATTTAAATTTGATTTCATAGTTCCTTTATTTTATGTTGTAATGTACCTCAGCTTATATATGTATTAATGAAATGCTCTACAGAATGTGCTCTACATTGAATTATTCCTGATTTAGAGACAGTGAAACAGTACTCAGCGCCAGACTTTTGGTGATCCTAAAGTGTAAAAAAAAAACATGTTAGCTTCCAAGCTGTATATCTCCTCATCCATGGCAAGGAAGCAGACAGTCTGCTTAATTTATGTTTAGGTATACATTTAGGTAAGACTCAGATAAGACAGACTTCCTACTTCATCTGTCATCATTATGATATCAGCTGTAGTCTATTCATTGCTATTCACCTGCTGTCCCATTGTGAACGCGACCACCTCCAGCTAGACCTGTGGACTGTCTACCCCGACCAGGACTTGTGGGCTTCACCCATGGATCTCTTATAATAACGGCTTCACCCATGGCTTCACCCCCTCCCCATTAACCTCAGTACTGCATCGCGTCTCCTCGGTACTTTTTCTACGGCCGGGTCCGTCACACACATGGATGACACATTGGTTTTTCATCATTGCATTTCCTGTGTTTGAACTGTTTGATTCTCTGATCTGTGTTGGCAAATCGCCAATTTTGTAAAGTCTTCTAAGATAAAAAAAAAAATTAAATTGAATTGAATCATAGTGGGATACATTAAAAGGACATCTTTATCAATTCGAAAAGGCATGGACCCATTTGAAATCATTTTCATTGGTCTCTCGTCAACTGTTGTTGTGACGTAATGACGCAGTGACGCTGTTGTCTTTGAAATGGCGCTGGTGCGTTTATGCTCGCCGTTATTTTTCATTATTTTGGACGTTTGAGGCCTTATTTCATTATGTTTATTTGTGTATTGGAAAATAAAGAAGAGTCTAATTTTATTGTACTTTTACGCTTGCAAAAAGCATGTGATGTTTTAAATAGTCAATAAGTACATTACAGGGCCGCTCGTTCCCCGGGCTTGCGTAGGGATTAGATCGGCTTTTGCAGAGTTGCTTCAGCTAGCTAATGCTAACACGGTAAGTTGACGCATTTGGCTTTTGTATATTGCATCACCTGCCTATACTTTTATATTTAAAAATTTCCAAATGTATCTGTTGTAATGGTTTTCTTTTCCTTGTCACAAAAATGCACTATTTGGTAAACACGGCTAGCGTTAGCTTTGTGCTAGCTGTACGACACACTACTGGCTAGCTTAGTCTTGTTCAACACGGCCACTGTGTTTACAAACAGTGGTGCAAATACGCTAATCAAACGTCAGTAATGCAGCTGAAACCACCGCGCAATATCAAATTCTCATTTCGATGTAATCGTACATTTGCGAGCGTCAATGTTAACAACTTAGCGCAAAACGTTCGTCCTTTGACAAATGTTAGGTTGCTTTGCAGAAATGCGTTATACATGTTGACATTTTTTATGTGTACTTTCTCTCTAGGTCTTTTTTATACATGAATGGACCATGACGATCGCTGAGCAGCGTTAGATTTCCGTCTGCCATCAGTGAATTGCAACACCCACCCTGGTAAACCTACAGTATGGCATCAGTACCAGTTTACTGCCTGTGCCGTCTTCCGTATGATGTGACACGTTTTATGATTGAGTGCGACATTTGCCAAGACTGGTTTCATGGAAGGTATGTTTAAAATGCATTTAATGTAAATAGAGCTGTGACCTACAATTATTGTTATGATGGATTAATATAGCGTTTATTATTTTTGTTTTATTGATAAACATGATGTATCTAATATTGAGCCGCATAAAAAGTGAAGACACTGGTGGACATTGTTAATTCTTTTCCAGACAAAACGGTTATGATGAAGATGTGACATTTTCACATTTCGTGCTTTTTTGGTTATTTTCGTGTTAAATTGTTTATGTAGTTACTGCCGTTTGATTTATTTGTAGTTTGTCTGTAGCAGTAAACAATTATATTGATTACTGAAATGTATTGTTCATTACTGAAATAACTTTGATTATACCATTATTCAAATAGATTTTTGCAGGTGTATTGTGATTATTCAATGAATTTTTTTTAATGGATCACTTAATGAAATCTTGGACTTTGTACAATCTTTTTCTTTGTAGCTGTGTTGGAGTTGAAGAGGAAAATGCTGCAGAAATTGACCTTTATCATTGTCCAAATTGTCAAGTTGCTCATGGACCCTCTGTTAGTAAGTTGAATTTATTCAGTATTGTATTCTTATTGTCTATTTCCCTGGAGTTTGGCATCATATTTCACTGCAAAGTATTTTTAGATGAAATGGTAAACTTTTTTGAAATAGTTTTATAGCCAGCAACAAAACTTAATAAACTTAACAACCTTTATACAAAAACTTACATTTCCATGGTTGTGTTTAGAACTCAAGTTAACACTGTTAATCCTACAGATTATACAGCTCAATTTCTGAATAACTTCACTTCTTGACTAAAGAGTTTTGGTTTTTAACAGCAGAATTGCTTTGTGTTTATGAGCAATAATAATAAAAGCAAATGTACGTCTTTTATGTTCTAATACTGCATATGATTTATAAGGATTAATGCTAATATTTCTTTTCTTTAGTGCGTAAGCGCCGTGGAGGAAATAAAGTTTCCGATGCAGGTCCAGTTGGGGTCAGAGATCCAAGTCGACCTGTGAAAACAGGGAGTGCTCAGTTTGTCAGAGAGCTACGGAGCCGCACATTTCCAAAGTAAGTATTCGCATTGGCACTAACATTGATAAAACTTAAATTGATCAAAACCAGTGAGCCATTTTATTGTCTTCTCTAAATAATATGACACATGGCTATTTGAAGCCAACTTATCCAGAGTTCAGCTCTGATACTGTTACCAGGGCCTTCGGTATCTGCTGATATCGGATAATAAAATTACTTTCCATCCATTTCCTACCCTTTATTCAATTTCTGGGTCAGGGGGTGGCAGTCAGAGCTGCACCCAGTTCACAGAGCACCAGCCCCTCACTGATCCTTCTGCAGGTGGTGAGTCCACAGGAGGAAAAATGACTTTCATAAAGTAAAAAAATAAATAAAGTGAATATTATATAGATATTTTTTACTTCATTGCAACAGTATCTAATAACACACATATTTGTATTACAAAAGCAATTTGGTCAATATTAGCCGATCAATTATTTAGATGATCAATATAGGTGATCTGTCTCAAAAATCCTGATTTAGTGCAGGTACACCTCTACTTAAAACGATTTTGAAAACAAACACAGCTGCATTGGATAAGCTTATACATTGTTATGGCTTGAGTGGCTCTGATCAATTGTTTACTTGTCTAAATAATCATCAATGTCAAAAAAACGATAATAAGCTCCTTCTCCTTTGACTGTGAATAGATCCTGGTGAAAACTTTGATATAGGTGACAACTTACACATTCAGAATTTTTACATTTCACAGATGCACAGTCCAATAAATTACATTATTACACACAAAAACAATTTATTTTTATAGCGGTCTGGAAAGTAGAATAGTGTAGTAAAGTATTTGATTAAAAATTAAACAATACTTTCTAATGAAGAAACATGTGGTTACATACACAAAGATCCGGTAGCTCATGTTGTGTGCTGGACTTTTTGTGGAATTGACATGTTGAGAAGCTGCTGGCGGTAACTTTCTTTCAGAATGTAATTATTATATTGCATTGCATCATTAACGAGCAGAGCACGATCCCCGCAGACTGCTGCATATGAGGCGCTCATGCAAAGGGGTTTTTGTGCCAGTGCTCGAACCTGGGTTCACTCTGCGCACTCTGCGCAACTTTAAAACACAATAAAGCTGCCGGTTATATACACACCGATAAAGGTACAGGTCCTTCTAAAAAAATTAGCATATTGTGATAAAGTTAATTATTTCCTGTAATGTACTGATAAACATTAGAATTTCATATATTTTAGATTCATTACACACAACTGAAGTAGTTCCAGCCTTTATTGTTTTAATATTGATGAATTTGGCTAAAATAGTAAAGAAAAACCAAAAATCCCTATCTCAAAAAATTTGCATATCATGAAACTGTACTCTAAACGAGCCATTAACCTAATCATCTGAACCAATAAATGAACTCTAAACACTTGCAGAATATTCCTGAGGCTTTTAAAAACTCGCGGCCTGGTTCATTACTCAAAACAGCAATCATTGGTAAGACTACCTGACTGCTGTCCAGAAGGCAATCATTGACACCCTCAAGCAAGAGGGTAAGACACAGAATAGGCTGTTCCCAGAGTGCTGTCTTAAGGCACCTCTGTGGGAAGGAAAAAGTGTGGCAGAAAACGCTGCACAACCCTGGAAGGTGACCGGACCTTGAGGAGGATGGTGGAGAAGGGCCGATTCCAGACCTTTGGGGACTTGCGGAAGCAGTGGACTGAGTCTGGATCAGAAACATCCACAGCCATCTCAATTGGCCTGCCAACTCTACTGACCTGAACCTCATAGTGAATCTGTGAGATGTTGTGAAGAGGAAGTTGAGTCACCAGACCCAACACTGTGGATGAACTTAAGGCCACTATAGAAGCATCCTGGTGCTTCAATAGTGCCTGTGGCAAGATAAGATATACTTTATTGATCTCACAAAATATAAATGTATTCCTGATCAAGTATTGAGTGCATAAATGAACATCATTATTGGTCTGATGAAATATGCTAACTTTTTGAGATAGGGATTTTTTTTTACTTTTTTGCTAAAATCATCAATATTAAAACAATAAAAGGCTTGAACTACTTCATCTGTGTGTAATGAATCTAAAATATATGAAAGTCTACTGTTTATCAGTACATTACAGAAAATAATGAAGTTTATCTCAATATGCAAATTTCTTTAGAAGGACCTGTATTTTCACACCCTGCACTTTTGCAAGTTCTCCCTAGACATTGGGGAGAGGTCTCAAATGTTCGTCATAGATGCATGTTCACTGTTAGAGACATAATCCACAAAGAAAATTCCGGAAATCACAATGTATGATTTTTTTTTTCATGATTTATTTGTATGTTACTGAGGTTCATAATTATTTGTACACATCAGAATCAGCCAGAATTAGGACTTTCAAAGACCTGACCATCCACCTTAAAAAAAAGACCACAGAGCGGTCAAAAGAGACCAGAGACTAAAACCAGAGTATCACAAAGCTGGAACATTGGGACAATTGGGAAGCAGTTTGGTGAGACTAGCAGCAGTTGTTAGAAAATGGAAGAGGCTAAACATGACTGCTAATCTACCTAAAAGTGAGAAATCAGACCAGAACTACACGGCAGGAACTGGTGAATGACCTGAAGAGAGCTGGGACCATCAGTGGAACACTAACGCGTAGTTGTTTGAAAATCATGCATCGCATCGAAGGTTCCCCTGCTGCCCATATCCAGGCCCATCTAAAGTTTGCCAGAGGAGTTATGGAAGTCATGAGGTCAGATGAAACCAAACTAGAACCTTTTTGATATAAACTCCACTTTTTGGGTTTGGAGGAAAAAGATCATCTTAATGACCTTATGCCGGGTTTGATTTATTTAGAAATACAGTTTTAATACCATTTTATATTAGAAGAGAACTACTAAAGGTTTCAAAATCAGTTGTTTTTTTTTGTCTGATCCCCCCCCAAATCGAAATAACCCCATAGCAACGCCCTTAGAGACAAAAAAACTTCACAGCCCTTGGTGACATCAGAGTGGGTACGTTTCAACGCTGTAAGTTGTTTACAATTTGGTATTCGTTCTTTTTTTGCGGATATTCAAGTGGACAAGGCCGTGTACAGAGAGTCTGACATTACTACTAGATTATAACACTTCGTTGGCACTGATATAGTCCAGTGGTTGTGTTGGACTGCCAATCCAGACACTGGGGTTGAAGTCCCAGCTCAGACACATTTTCACTCTCAAAACGGCAATTTATGTGTAGTGAGCAATTGTCACCTGTAGAGTGCAGTATTGTGTTGGGCATCAGTGGAGAGAAGAGAGAAAAGGCAGTCCTATGGCATAGATCCATGGTTTTCAATGCATGGGCGTTACCCGCTGTGACGTCACACACAGGTTAGAGCATAGACAACTTAAATTCATGAAAAACACGTTCTTTTTATAAAATATAGGATTTTTTTTGCCGGAATCTTTTTCAGATCGACATTGTCATGCAATTTTGAGATCCACAATTTTGATTTTAAAAACCCGGTATAAGGTCTTTAAGAGCAGTGAAGCATGGGGGTGGAAACTGGGGTGCATTTCAGCAAAGGGTACAGGACAACTGCTCTGTATTAACCCATTGACGCCGGGAACACATTCCTGCATTTCTACCTTTCAAGCCGGGAGCGCTGTTGCACACTTCTACATTTAACCCATAAAGGCCTGACACACCTGGTAAAACAGACTTGTAAAACCTATGGCCGATTTTAGAACCACCCTCCAAAACCTGAAGTTTTCCTGAAATTCAACGTCTACTAAATGATTGATATCTCGGCCTCTAGAGCAGATAGAAACATAATTTCAAAATAATTTGAGAGCTGACACTTTTAAATAAGAATGCAGTGTATTATTATAATCCTTAAGTAGAATAATAAAAACAAAAATACAACTTCTACACAGGAAAGGTAATAAAACAACAAAAAATATGTGAGAATAACGCATGTTTCTCAATACAATAAATCAAAAAGGGTTTGGCAATAAAGTCGCACTAACTATGTTGAAAGAAATTTAAAAAAATCCACTCTCAGCCCAAAAAGTCAAATGATTCACTGGGCTCTTAAGTAAATAAAAAAAACACGACTGTTGTGGTTTGTTTTGATTTGTTCACAACATTTTACTTTTGTGCACAAATAACATGCATTGTTAAAGCTGCACTAACTGATTTTGAGACATTTTCAAACGCAGCGCTGGCCTCGCTCTCTCTGCTCGCCCTCCCCGCACCCACGGTGCTTTCTCCCCCCACTACCCCTAAGCCTGTGCTCTGTGCTGTTAGCTTTGGAGCTAGCGTCTCACAATATGGAACAATATGGCACTTTTGCACGTGGATGGAGTGACCATAGAATGACAGAGCCGGGAAGCGCGGAGAGGACGAGACTTTCTTTTGGACGACCGTTTCGCTGTGTAAGCAGTAACCGGTAATGAAGATACGGGAAGTTTTAGGTTAGCCTCCGCCTCTTGTTGTGCTAACTCAGCTGTCTTTGCTAACCAGAGACCTGTAGCTTTTCTCAAGTGGGGGCCAGCGGTCCGCTGTGATTGGTCACAATCGGGACCCGAAACACATTCTCTTCCTTGTTTCATGAAAACTCGATCTAAAATATAATTTCACGCCAGCACAAACCTGCGCTACTTATTCTTCAAAAGGACGTATATGCCAATGCACTGCATGGATATGGATTGCGTAATGAATACGAAAATAAAGTCAGTTAGTGCAGCTTTAATGGAAGCAAAAATTTAGGTACCTTAGCTTTAATTCAGTGAGTTTTGGCTGTGCTTCGTGGGCGAGACGTGGGGGAGACATGGGGAAGACGCAAACTACTGCCTGCGGTCACACATTACACAGAAATGATATTTTCAGCGAGAAAAAGTTGGAATTTGTGGATCTGCAGATACTAATTCTCATCACAGGTATATCTTGATGCATTTAATTGGTCAAGAGAGTTGATCAATGAAGAGAATAGGTAAAAAAAAGAAAGACGTGTCCGCTTTCCCTGCCTTATAGGTAGAAGTGCGCTTGAAGCTA